CTGTTGTGAACCACTGGAACAGAATATCTGAGCTTACTTCGAGACTTCTGTTTGCCACGGAGGGGCACTTGTCGATATAGCTCTCTATCGATAGCTCCCCTTGTTTAAGAGTTCAGTCTGCATTCGCAACTAATCAGTGCTGTGCAACAGCCCGTTTCGCTGTTGGCAGGCAGCACCTGCCCCTGTCACGCATCCAGTGGCACTAGGTGTAACGGGAGTTGTCAGGCAAAGACAAGGACATTCATGAGCTGCCATAGAGTCACACTGATTGGGAGAAAGGTTACCATGAGTCAACTGACTTTCCATTCATTCTCCAGGCATTCTCCACGAAACGGCGCAGGCTCGTAAAGCTGGTGCGTAAATGATGCGGCTCTTATCTCTTACAAAACTACTTGCTGCAACGCCTGCTGCAAGGCGACCCCACATGCAAGCATATCCAGTCCCGCCTTGCTGCATGCAGAAACACCGTAGACAATTGTTTCCTACTTGTTTGTCTCTAAGTTCCCAACCTTCATGGAGGGATAAAAACATTTCACAACCTCAACAGACTGCGCTATTCATGCTGCCCGAATCCGCTGGCATACAAATAAATACGTTACACACAAAGTGCAAGAGGGAGAACCGTATGTAGTAGACAGATAAGCAACCACCATCGAATCAAAAGCAACGCCTGAAGAACACGGCCGCATTCGTATCGCGGAGACTGAGCACGAAGGCGAACGAAGCGCATTACTTATCTCGACTGAGGATCCGCGATCTAGGTGCAGCTATAGAGACATCGCAGCGCTTCATGTTGCCCCTATTACCTGTGAGGGCGGCAGTTACAGCTACTTCGGCAACAGGAGTTCCAGTGTCGGTGCCAGAAATGCATTTCTCTTGGGTTATGGAGTTCTCAAGTTTGTGATTTGGGCTATACTGCTTGCGTTAAACAGAAGCAAAATGTTTCAATACAAGCATTAAGGGGATACACTTGTAGCCTCCTTCTGAATCCAAGTTCCGCGAAATGTTGCTGATTCCGGGCTTAGCATTCTGCAGGAAGCCGGCAGGTCCCGCATGGGTTGGCCGCATGCAAATCACCCAGTTTTGTGCTCCGTTACATCAGTCACAATGGCAGTCGAGTGCAGATGTTCCCCTCATGCAAGAGGGGCATACTTTCTTTTCTCTGAGTTCCTCGTTTGGGGTTTTGGCTTGGGCCTGACATATTAGCCGATGGGCGGCATGCAGGTCAAGACACGGAAGCTCCATTGCGCAGTTTTAAGTTACACATTATTCTTTCCCCTTTTGAAGGGCTAGTGCATGATGTCGCTGGCCTACAACTTACTACTTCGATCTTTTGTAGGTTCTCCGAAGGTTGCAACTCAAGCTCCTAGAGTAAAAGGGATCCCAGTACTCCAGCGACCACAGTGATAGTATGGTGTGTGTGGAATTTGTACGTGTACGTCTAAATGGGGGCTGGCTGGCTTTGGAGGGTCAATTAATTATTCAACAATTGTTTACACCGGTACTATGTACAGCAAGGAGGGCTCAATTGCACTTAAGTGTGGGATTGTCTTCCAGCACCCGTTGCAACAAGGTGCATTGCAACTCATTTGCCGTCTCAGCTCGCACCAGCCCCAGGCCCTTTGGCCGCAGCGCGCGTGAGCCTTTAGATTGGAGATCTGTGCTGCTCTATGGAAACCCTTCCCTTCAGCGAGAACCTTCTCTTCAGTATTTTTGAGCAGTTCACAACTGTCCTCGGATAAGAGCAACAGGTCCTCTTATAATAGTTACCTGGTGGAATTGTTGGGTTGCTTGGAAGCAGCCGCAAAAATGCTTACTTCGCCTCCTGCCTTCTACTCTAGCGAGCGCACATGCCCGGCCCCTGAAGTTCGAGAGGAAACCGTGCCTGCCAGCACTGCGTTGCGGAGCCTTCTGCTGCAGCTCCT